GGCAAATTTACTAAAATGGAACTTCCCCCTCAGAAGAATCAAGAATCCAACAATAGGCTCGGCCCATGGAGCTCTGGTCTACATTGTTCCAACTGTTAACAGACAAGACTTTTACCTGCATTTTGTACTGGGGTCAGTTAACAACAGAAATGGAATAATAGTTGGATTTATTGAAGGACACAGGCAAGATCTGTAGTTCTTGAGCACTGGGATGTAGTGTCACCTTCAGGAGTTGGATGCTAGGCCAGGTAAAGGAATTTTGCCTATCCCAACATCCTACCCCAGCAGGTGACCTAGTGGTCAAGATCTGTAGATCTTCACTGTGTCCCCCTGCAGGTGCCACTACAACCTAGTGGTCAAGATTGGGCATGAGCTCAGGCCCGAACCAAAGCTCCTCCTAACGAGGAAGAGCCATGGACACTTCCACCCAATTGGCGGGAATGGCCACCCTGCAGCTGCATGAAAACAAAGGGGTGGGGTGCTTGTGCTGATATCATTGACCTTATATGGCCACATAGCTATAAAAGGTAAATATCAGTTACCAAATATAGGCATGTAGCCATATAAGGTCAATGACGTCATTGAATCCCACCCATTTGTTACTGTAAGTTGTGGGTAGGGAATTCCTCAGCTAATTCGGGGGCAAGGACGGAGCTTCCTTTCTTGTTCGGGAGGGGCTCAGGTTTGGTCCAAAGCTGAGCTTATGTCTAGTGATGATCTACACACTTTCACCATGTTCTTCAATGAACAAAGAAAATTATTTAACCTAGCCTAGTGTCCTACTCCTGAAGGTGACAATACAACCCAGTGCTCAATGTCTACATATCTTCACTGTGTACTTATTACATTATTATACCTAGCCTGGTGCCCTACTCCTGGAGGGAGGAACTATAACCTAGTTTGCAAGGTCTACAATTCTCTGCATCCTTCAATTAATGCAGAAATTGATTCTACTTAGCTTAGTGTCTTACTCCTGAAGTTGGTACCATAACCCAGTTCTCAAGTTCAACAGATCCTCGCTGTGCCCATCAATAAACACAGAGAGAATAATTTTACCTAGCCTAGTGTCCTACTCCAGCAGGTAAAAAACAAACAAAAAGTCACCAGCACTCAATACTTGAAAGCAGAAATGTCCCTTTTATTGGACAAAAAGCGTCATAAAGAAGCCGACGTTTCGGGGCCGCACAGGCTCCCTTCTTCAAGGCAGAAAGTACGTCATACTTTCTGCCTTGAAGAAGGGACCCTGTGCGGCCCCGAAACGTCGGCTTCTTTATGACGCTTTTTGTCCAATAAAAGGGACATTTCTGCTTTCAAGTATTGAGTGCTGGTGACTTTTTGTTTTTTACTGTGTTTGCACGGTGCCATCCGTGAATCGAGTCACTTCGAGCACCAACATCCTTTAATTGGCCGGGACTGCTGCAAGGTGTGCGGAGGGCTCTCTCCTATTTTTACATCTACTCCAGCAGGTGGCGCTATAACCCAGTGTTTAAGGTCAACAGCTCTTCGCTGTGTGCTTCAACACATGCAGAGAAAATGATTTTACCAAGCATCTTGCTCCTGAAGGTGGCACTATAACCCAAGACCTGTAGATCTTGACCACTAGGTTGTAGATCTACCTGCAGGAGTAGGACGCTAGGCTGGAAAAAATCCTTCGTCCTGCGTTCATTGTAGGGCACATCGCCCCCGCCCTTCCACTTGTGTTGCCTCTATGAGTTTGTTGGTATCCTTTACTGCTTGCTACTAACTCAGGCTGTGTTCACAAACGGAGGAGGTTGACCACCAGCAGGGGACAACCAAAGGCATTTTTTTGTGCGTTTGTAGGTGGCACCATTACCCAGCGGTCCAGATCTACAGAGCTTTGCCGTGCCCTTCAATGAAGGGAAGAGAAATCTCTGTACAGGGAAGCTCCTCCATTTCTCTCAGCGGATAGGATTGTATCTCTCTCCGTGTTCCAGCCTGCAGGCTCTGATGCACGCAGCACAATATTCCCCGCGTCTGCAGCTCCAGTAATTGAGTTTCAGCAGGGCTCATCTCACAGTCGGCTCGGTCTGAACACGGCCGGGCGCTGCTAATTACTGCATGTTGGAAGCTTGATTAAAGACATTAGTCTAGGTGAGTCTCTCCTGATCGCTGAGCCTTCCAGCGCAATGAGAAATTTTGTCTAGGATCGGGGGATGGGAGCGCGCTGCGGCTGCATTATCCATGGGTCTCCTATGTGTATTCTACATTCAGACACTCGACCTGAACCGTGATGGTGGGCGATGGAGCCGGGGAAAAAAGCAATAAACGCAACATTCTAAATCTTCCCGCTGATCGCACAGAAAGACAAGAATAGCAGAGGAACTCCGGCCTCCCCTTCAGTCTTGCTCAGTTGTACCGGCTCCTCTCCTGGACTGCAATGGCTTCCTCTGATGTCACTGCACACTGCGAGCTCCTCACAATGCGCATTAGAAGCTGCAGCAAGTCAGATAGAGCCCGCCTCATGTCCTGGCTGGAAGAAGTCCAGCATCATCTAGCGCTTTCTTCCCCAGCCTGGCTGTCCCTGGCTCCGCCCCTTTCATTCATTGGATATCAGTTGTTCGTGGGCGGTCTTCGTGCAAATGCAGTCTGCATCACTTCCGGGTTCGCAGCTGTCATTCCCTGGCTAGAGAGACCGGGGATGCGAAGACAAAAAATTAATTTCAGATGAAATGAACGAAAAATCCATTGAGTGAAAGGGGCGGGCCAAGGACAGTTAGGCTGGGGACACACCCTATCTCAGCACCCCTTTCAAGAGCTCTGATGTAAGCAGTGGGCTGGATCTTGGGGAGAAGTTATGCAAATATAAAAATGCCTCGATGGGCGGGTGTCAGTCGGGAGGAGTGGGCGTTCCTGGGCAGGCTGCATTAGCATGAAGACCACCCACATATGATGCTGAGCCTCCATGATTGGAAGAACTGAAATCTATTGAGTGAAAGGGGAGGGCCAGTCAGGCTGGAGACACACCCTCTCTCTACCCTTCAGCCCTAATACTAGCAGTGGGCTGGATCTTGGGAGGAGTTATGCAAATATCTGGAAGGAGATGAAGGAGAGGAACCGATAGAACTGTACAGGACTGAACGGAAGGACGGAGGTCAGATAGAAGACTGAAGGGAAGTCCGGAGTTCAGATATAAGACTGAAGGGAAGGCCGGAGTCCACCTCCAAGTGATGTGAAGGAATTGCGAACACGCGTGGAATAAATCTGTACATGGCGACTTTTTATTCAATTAAATTTATACATTTAAAAAAAAATGTTATTTTACAAATCATCGCACAAGCCGTCACAATCCAGTCCGTGTGAAAGTAATACAAAAGGCTTTCAGGAACACACACATCCTTCATACTACAGGCAGACCAATAAATACCAATTACCCAGAATGCTTTGCTGCGTGTGTCTATGCCATCAGATGGACTATTCGGCCATGTGGGTTTCTTACCCTTCCTTGTCCAGTTGGCTGCCGTCTGTCTTGTGTTGCAGTGTCTGTTGTTCCTCTTTGGCGCCCTCTTATGACCAAACCCATACACATCATTCTGCAACTACTGGCAACTTCCTGTCTCAGAGCGATGATGCAACACCAGCTCACTATTCAGCCATCAGCTTGTCCATTCAGTCTCCGCCCTTGCGTGTGTTCTGATCCACCAAGTGCACTGCTGTTGTTCCTGTTCTTTGTGTATGACCCCCGGCTCTGGCTCACTGATCTCCGGGTTCCTGACTCCGGCCATTGTTTCCGTTCATCCTGCTCCTGACCTGTTTCGGTTGACTACCCTCTTTGGCATCTGACCTCTGGCTTGACGTCCTACATTATTTTTTGCTATTTATGTTTATTGTATTTTTTAATAAACTGCTTTTATTTTTTTAAGCCTGCACTTTAAGTTTCTTGGTTCCCTGACAGTGGGAGATGCCGCCTGGTATCCGCTATGTGGGATCTACTTTAAAAGTGAACCTTGAGGCCTTCTAAGTGGTATCAATCCAGCGTCGGGCACCTCGCTGTGCCAGGATACGGCTCCGGAGTCCCGAAACGCGGCAGTGTTTTCTAACCGACGCTCTCATGGATCACGCCGCGCTCTCTCTAAGCCGGTACTAAGATCTCAGATGTGACGCGTTCATCTTCTAGTACAGCAGGGGGCCAAGGCAGGACATTACCTGGGAGCAGATGGAGCCGTACAAGAGTCAGGAGCCCCCCCATAGCATGTTCTAGGACCCCACTTGGGCCACAGACTCAATGCAGCACCCCTATCATATTCCACTCTTGTGTCATTTGTGGCAATACAAAGGAATCCACAATATACAAAGTTACACTTTAACTTTCATTCATGATCCGGAGCTGAAGTCTGATCTGGTTCCTCCTCCCTTCCCTGGCTCCTCCTCCCCCCTCATTAACACCTTTCCATTTTAATGACATTCCTTATTTTATACCCAGTGATGTCATCGCTGGGTCTCTGTGCTATGCAATGCAGGCAGGTCATGGCTGGTGGGAGGGGCCGGCAGGGTGCTGTACATAGCTTCCTGAAAACATCACAGCACCCTACCTCAATACTCCTCTGCAGAGCCCTCAGACCTGATGCTGGACAGGTAAGTACCTCAACCCCATCCCCCAACAGCAGAGAGGAGGGCTCAGACCTCACACAGCCATTGGCTCTCCTGTGGAATTTAAGAGTCCCCCGGACGTGCCAAATGCTGAAGATTCTGCTTGCAGGTAAAGTATCCATCACCTCCTTGTTATGGGTCAGTGACTCACAGTATTGGAGCCACCGGATCAGCAATGGCAGTCCAGATTCCCGTTTCAGCACCGGCTTCCATTGCCGAGCCGAGGACTGTACATCACCGAGCCGTTCCTGGAGGACCTACTCCATAAAAAATAAAAAAATCACAAGGTGACCAGCATGGGCCCGTGTGTTCTGGCCACGTTCACGTGTCCCGACTCCATCTTGCAGAATGTCACCATACGCGGCGAGATGGATCCCGGTGAAAGGAGAAGAGAGTCTGTACCCGTCTGCAGGTCACCGCCGGGCGGGTTTGGGCATCAAGAAGACTTTGACGGGTTTGCTGAAGGGTATGGTGCCATCTATGGAGCTGTCCGGGGCCGGCAGGCCGTCCATGCTCTCCCCCCACGCCGGCTTACACGATCGGTTTACCATTCTGCTGCGGCCGGAGCTGTAGGCGAGTAGGAGACGGACTTCGATCTGACACGGCTCTGCGGGAATAGGAGGAGAAGATGTGAGGTCACGAGGGGGATAGGAAGTTATAGCAAAAGCCCCTCTGACCCTGTCAATGCCCCTCCCTGTGCCTCAGGCTATGAAATAATGCAGACAACCCCCCTGCTTACCCCCCGCCCTGCAACAGGGGGTTCCCTCTGCCCTTTGTGGTGTGTCACTGCGGGGCAGAGAATGCCCCTGCCGCTACTTATTGTCCCGCAAAGGGGGATGGGGGGCTGCTACAGTTTTGCTCAAGCTTGGACAAACTGGGTTCACACCTCGCTCATCACTGCACTCCATAGCTATTGAGGGACTACAAATATCAGAGGCCCTGGAGCCTGCTGGGGTGGAGCTTGCTGGGGTGGAGCCTGCTGGGGTGGAGCCTGCTGGGGTTCGAGGTTCATAAAAAGTTGCAGACTCTCTGTAATGACACAATTAACTTTATTGTCCGCTGCCTACAACAGGCCGAACACCGACGGGAGGATTTGTAGAGATGCTGCACGTCACATCCCACATCCTGAGGTAAATTAGAACTACAATTGAATGAATCAG